TAAAGATATTGTGTCCAACTACAACTAAAAAATAAATATTAAAAAAAAGAAAAAGAAACGGTTGTTAGAAGAAACCCAGCTAACTGGTCAGGTCCTAAGTGATCTATCTGGACGACTGAACTATATGGGGGGTTTGTAACCCGGGCTCGGTAAGAACCTAGCCAGGGAGCTGGTGCAGAGAAAGCAGAGTCAGTGGACTCGGCGCCCAGCGGGACCGTCCTCACCCACACCCCAGCTGCCTTGTCGGTCCCGCAGGTTCCCGGAGCAAATGCCAAACTCAGTCCTGCTCCCGGAGGGACGCCTACAGGGAGGAGCTTGCGCTCGGAGGGTCAACCTCATCTCGCGGACCCGCGGCCCGCGTCGGTGCTCCAACCCCAGGTCTGGGGCCGGGAGCCACGCGCCCTCCAGCTCGGTCACCCTTCCCAGCACAGCGGCGCTGAAACAGCCGCTGGCGCCAACTCAGTCCCCTGGAATCAGAGGCCGACCCCGACCGCAAAAGCGCGGGTGTGAGAGTCGGAAGTTGCCCACACACCCAGGGTCCCCAGCCGCCACCAGGAGGGGCGGGGAAGAACTCTCGAGAGAAGCCAGGTGGCCTCAGCCTCAGCCAGAAGTCCCCACAGCACAGAGAGGTAGCGGAGACGCGCCTCCCGCGCCCGCGAAACTGCACTCCCGCCAGGCCGCCCGGCCCTGATTGGCTGAAACAAAGGCGGGTTCCGGAGTCGGTTCCAGCTCGCTGTTCGGCGGGTTCCCGCCCCAGACACAGGCGCGCTCGGCACCGGCTCTTTCCACCAGCCAATCATTCTCGCCAGCCAGTCATCAACTACTTTCTTCCCTTTGCTGCAGCCCCCTACCCCTCCGCTCTTCGCTAGCTGAGGGAACCACATCTTCCTGGATTGCGCACGCGCCTCCGCCTCCTGGGGGTGGAGGGGTGCGGGTGGGCGCAGGCGCAGTAGTACGAGCTCTGTGGGCAGTCACTAAGCACGTGGGATAGGCTCCGGGGTCCCGCCGCGCGAAGGGAGTGGAACCTCGATTTTGGTGGTGTCAATCGTGGGCAGCGGTCTATTGAAGGCCATGGCACCGGCGGAAGTCCTGAACGGGAAGGTGGTCTCTGCGTAAGCACTTGTCATTTTTGTTAGGGCGTATTGGGCCGCTGGCGAGACTGCAGGTGTGCAGTCCCCCACGGACCCATTTTTGCAGGAGGGACGCTTGTAGAAGTGGTGTCAGGTCTATTGCGTAGGGAGGAAGAACATTGACTGGGCCCATATCACCTTATGACCGGTCTCCTGCAAGCGAAGAAAGGTCCCAGGCCCAGTCTGTTTGCCCTTGGGCTCCTCTATGGGGGGAGTGAGGGAGGCAAGTCTTGGCCTGACTTTGCTCCCAAAGTGCAGTGTGCTGGCAACTTTCTGAGAGAGTAGTTGGGACTGCTCCGGGGCGCCAGTTGAAGAACTCAGAAATCCTGTCCACTCTTTTCTCCTATGATTTGGAGGTGATTACATTGTGACAACACTTTATAAGATTGGTGACAGAGGATCTTCTTTCAGTCCATGGTTTTTCCAAGTACACCAGAGTCTAACTTTTCCTTTCCCTTCCATCTCGTGCTCCTAACAGCCATCTTTCTGTGCTGACTCTAGAGTTAATTTTTAGTTTGGCTCATGAGTCCTGACAATATTCCATATTCCATTTGAGCTCTTCCTGTTCTACCCCTTCAGATTTGAAGTGGATATGGGTGCCACCTTTGCTCCCAGAAAGGAACATCTCCTGCTCTTTACTGAGCTGAGGATTGTACCCAGGGCCTTATACAACATGTGCTCTACTACTTCTCTACACCCCCTAACCACGCCCCCTGCTTTTTGTTTTAGAAGTGATTTGGGGGTTAAGAGGAGGGTAGAAAGAATAGAGAAGGATCTATTCTGTCTGACTTTACTGAAGTTGCATTTGGGACCTTTGGCATCTCCAGTTATTTAGTATCTGCTGTAGCTGACAATAACAATTGTCCTCTAATCCTTAACTTTATTCAAAGAGGCTTTTGAGTGCATTAGAAAGTTAACTGGTGGTAAAGCCTACCTTGGGACAAAATGATTGTTTCCTGAAAGGTAGAGAATATGAACAAAGATGGAGAGATGTAAATTAGTTGGTGGTGAATCTTCCACATTGGTGAGGAAGAACCCCAGATTTTTGCACTAGAAATTGCAATACTTAATCCCTGAGTGCTTTTTTAAAAATATATTTTATTAGGTATATTTGAGGTTTACAACATGATATCATGGTATACATATAGATAATAAAATGGTTTCTATAGTGAAGCAAATTACATTATTTCATAGATACTTTTGGGGACAAGAATAGCTAAAATCTACTTATTTAATATAAAAAACTCACACAATATAACTGTTAACTATAGTCTTCATATTGTGCATTAGAATTCTAGACATGTTCCTCTTACATAACTGCTACTTTCTATTCTTTGACCTAATCTTATGTATAAATATTTCATATATGAGCGAAATTATGCAATATTTTTCTTTTTGTTTCTGGCTTATTTCACCTAGTGTAATGTCCTCCAGGTCCATCCATGTTTTGGCTGGTAATATTCCATGGTAAATATTTCCCACTTTATCCATACACTCATCAGCAGATACTTAGGTTGTTTCCATATCTTGGCTGTTTTGAATGATGCTTCAGTGCATAGTGACAGGGCAGCTATTTTTACAAGGGGGTGATTTCGTCTCCTTTGATTATGTATCTAGGAGAGGGACTGCAGGGTCATGTAGTAGTTTTTATTTTTTCTTTCCTAAGGAGCCTCCATATTATTTTCCATAATAGTACTAATCTATATACCCACCAGTGGTGTACTAGGCTTCCCTTTTCTCTGTATCCCCTCAACATTGGTTCTCTCTCGTCTTTTTGATAATAGCCATCCAAAGGGATGTGAAGTGATTTTAATTTGCATTTCCCTGATAATTATTGATGTTTAGCAACTTTTCATAAACTTGTTGGCTATTTTTAAAAATCTTTATTTTTCAATACCTTGCTTCTTAAACTGCATAGTTTCTGCCTGACTTTCCTTTTTGTTTATTTTTGCTTATATTCAAACCTATTCCTTTTACCATAGACTTTTTCTTTCTTTCTTTCTTTTTTTTAGTTGTAATGGACAGAATGCCTTTATTTTATTTATTTATTTTTACGTAGGTCTAAGGATTGAACCCAGGGCCTCACACATGCTAGGCATGCCCTCTGCTCCTGGTTACAGCCCCAGCCCATTACCAATGACTTTTTCATGATAAAAACGTCCTTTTAGAAAGATTGGTTGTAAAGAGATAATTTAGGTTTCTGTCTTGGCAGGCTACCAAAAATTGGTGCATACTGGGCATGTTTTATTTGGATAGAGAGCATATTAAATATGTTTATAAGTTCCATAAGGACAAATAGATTGTTTTGTTTTTGTGTGTAATCCAAATACCTGGAAAACCCTTTTTTTCTCTTTACTACTTGCGCAACTTTAAGCAAATTCCTTAATCTGTCTGTGCTAAAATTTCCTCAGATGTAAAATAAAGATACTGTCCAGGCTGTTGGGTTCTAAGGAGAATTAAATGAGTTCCAAACAGGAACATTCAGAATTGTTCCTGGCACATAAGTGTTCAATATATGTTAGCTGTATTAATGATCTGCAATTAGTTAATATATACATAAATGATAGAAACTTTTTTTGGGGGGTACTGGGGATTGATTTCAGGGGCACTCGACCACTGAGCCACATCCCCAGCCCCATTTTATATTTTATTTAGAGATAGGGTCTTACTGAGTTGCTCAGCGCCTCACCATTGCTGAGGCTGACTTTGAACTCTCAATATTCCAGTCTCAGTCTCCCTAGCCACTGGGATTACAGGTGTGCATTACTGTGCCTGGCTTAGAATCATTTTCTTTTTGACAGGGATAGCTGCCTTGAATCACTTTGGGGACTTTTTGTTATTTTTATATTAAATGTGGATACATATAAAATAGTATACTTATTATAACTATACATCTCAATGAATTTTTTCAACTGAACATATTTGTATAACTAAGCACCCAGATCAAGAAATGGCAGTATTGGCTGTTATTGGAGGCAAACACCTTTAATCCCAGTGATTTGGAAGGCCGAGGAAGGAGGTTTTTGCACATTTGATGCCCCAGCCTCAGTAATTTACTGAGACTATCTCAAAATAAAAAAAATAAGGAGCTGGGGTTGTAGTTCAGTGGTAGAGCACTTGCCTAGTATGTGTGAGGCACTGGGTTCGATCCTTAGCACTGCATAAAAAAATAAATAAAGGTATTGTCTCCACCTGCAACTAAAAATATTTTAAAAACATAAATAAAAAGGTCTGGGGAAATAACTCAGTAGTAGAGTACCCCTGGGTTCAATCCCTAGTACCAAAAGAAAAAAAGAAATGGCATTATTGGCCCCTGAGAAGTGCCATCTGGTTACCAATTCTCATAGAGGCAATCGCTATCCTGACTTCTAAAACTAGATAGTTTTGTCTGTTTTTGAGTTTCTATAAATGGCATCATACTCCATTTCTGAAATTATTCTGTTACATATAATTCATTTACTCATACTTCATTGACTCATTGCAGTATAGTGTTCTGTGTATAGCTATTTACTTATCTGTGGACATAAGTGGCATAAGTTCCCAGGTCTTGGCAATTTGAATGATACCATGCACATTCTTTTACATGTCTTTTGGTGTAATGTGATATGCTTTTTTATTGGAGATATATATATATATATATATAAAAGAATAGAATTATAGGACAATAGAACATGTAAATGATCAGTTTTGTTTGATATTGCCAATCTTTCCAAGATTGTTTTACTAATTTACTCTCATAAGGAGCTTTGAAAAATATCAGTGCTTGGTGCAAATACCATACTGATATAATTGGATTCACTTGCCATAAGCTCCCTGCAGGCATCCTGAAGTTTGAAACCATATATCCAAATTCTTAAATCTAAATCAAGTTCCTGTCATTGAAGAATGAGGTATCAATGATTTTGCCATAGGTATTGAAGACACTTTCTAGAAAAAACCTGTTCCATGTACTAGAAGGTTTTCTCTCTCCAGTGTTTTCAGAAGTAACATAGCTAAATAAAATTTAATTTAATTAAAATTTTAATTTTTGCAGTGCTTGGGATCAAATCCAGGACCTCATGCATGCCAGGCAAGCACATAACCACTGAGCTACATCCCCAACCCAGGCTGACCTTTTTGTATCATCTTGTTGATGAATGGCCAGTTCTTATAAGTGCTATTTATAAAGGAGCATGAAGACTTGAAAACAGAAAGCAAAACACACATATGCATACACACAAAGGCTTGTTTTTGCACACAGAAGAATTTTCTTCAATGTGCGTATAAGGTGGCTGTATCTTAGCATTTTGACCTGCCTAGAGAGTTTGACTCTAGGAACTATGCTACAGTGTTTATAATTCTTCACAGTGTAGGAGCTCTGAAAGGGGAGGTAGCCTGCAGGACCCATAGGATATCATAGTTCTTCTAGATTCCATGTGTTGAAACTGTAGCAGGAAGCTGACTCTTGGGGCCATGGCCCCGGGGCACTCCTGAACAACAAGGTTTTCTTTATTTTTGCTCTACAGGGATTGGAACCCAGGGCCTCACACATGTTAGGCAAGTGCTCAGCCACTGAGCTATATCCCCAGTCCCCTTCTTTTCTTCTTCCTTCTCTTCTTCTTCTTCTTTTTTTTTTTTTTTTGGAAACAGGGTCTCCCTCAGTTGCCCAGACTGGATTTGAACCTGTTTTAGCCTCCCAACTTGTGTTCCTCCTGTCTCAGCCTCCTAAGTATCTGGGATCATAGGCATGTGTCACTGTATCCAGCAAGAAGGTGGTTCTTAAAGCTTGAGCATGTTGGGCTGCAGATGGAGACCTTTGGTGAGGTTTCCCTACCTTTTCTCTTTTGCTAGGCCAAGGACACTCCTGAGAGGAAAGGTAAGCAAGCTTCTTCCATTGCAGTCAGGGATCCTGGAATCCAGAGAAAGGGTCCCTCTTTGCTAAGTTTACAGATCAACTTCCTTGGTTGCCACCAACTGTTGGGCCTTCCTGGGAGTCACATTTG